AAAAAACAGGAAAGCACCCTAAACTCGGAAGCTCCCAACTCACTGAATTAACATCTAAGCTTGGAAGCTCCTAACTCACTGAATCAGCATCCATGGCGGTGGCCTCCACATCTCTCGTTTCCCAACTCTCTGGCCCTAAATCTCTCTCCTCTTACTCCGGCATCCCTTACTACCGCATCACTCTCCACCTGAATCCGAGTCCCACTTGCCGGAAAACCCATCTGCAGCGCCACTCCTAATCAAGGAATTTCTCCCCGTCATAAATTTCCGCGACGACGGTGGGGACTCTGCAGAGAGCATGGTCGTCTATAAGTTCGAGATGGAGGACGAGATCAGACCCATTATTCAGTTTAAGTCAAACCCGGTCATCATCCGCAAAGATGTACTGGAGCAGCAATATTAGCTGCACTTGGATTTCTGGAAAAATGCTCAGGGAGCACGGGTTCCAACGATCATGGTCTCACCATAGATAGAGAAGGGTACATATTTCATGAATGCACTGGAGACGTGGAAGGGCGTGAGGGGTTGAGTCATCCCCGAGAAGAAGCGAGTCGAGTTATGGGTGTGGCGGAAAAATGAGTTATTGCGTTTGAGAAGATGAAGCAGCAATCGAGATGGAGGGTGAAATCTGGATGATGCTTTTATCATGTGTATCTGTTGTCCCACTAGGTTTTGGCATGGAACTATCATTGCCATGCTAGTGCCAGTTTCGTAGCATCAAGATTTAAGCTTTCAGGCTCTAAGGTGTCTGTGAAAGGTCCACCAACAGCAGATGATAATTTATAGAAGAGCTGCATTACAGGGATTGCCCGGACCCCTGACATCGATTGCATCCACCCTTTTAATTATTCAAGAAGCTTAGAGAGAAGTAAAGAATTTAAAGCCCGTGTCGAAGCAGAAATTGAAATAGAGTCATTCACTGAAGTAAAGAATTCAAGGCTTTTGATTTGGGTGGACATCAGATTGCTTGCCGAGTTTGGAAAAATTACTATGCCAAGGTGGATGCGGTGGTTTACCTAGTGGATGCTTATGACAAGGAAAGCAGAAAGCATGGCTACCACTGAGATAAAGCAAAAGAAGATAATATTAATAGGATGCATAGTGGGGTGGTGCAGTCCACAACCATGATGATAATGGACCAACAAGCCAGCTCATTCGAATTCAGATCTGACAACAGCTATTACTCCCAGTCTTTCGGTAACCTGCCGCTATTAGCACCAACTAGGTGATCAAAAGTACATCAGTACTCCAAAATTATTCGGCAACCTGCCGCTATTACCACCAACCAGGTGATCAAAAGTACGCCCAGTACTCCAAAATTATTCGGCAACCTGCCGCTATTACCACCAACCAGGTGATGAAATGTACAACCCGTACTCTAATATCATTTGGCAACTAGCCATTCATGCCACTAACCAGGTGATGAAATGTACAACCCGTACTCTCCTTCATGCCACCAACCAGGTGATCAAAAGTACGCCCAGTACTCCAAATTATACATGAGCATTACTCATGTCATTCATACATAAACATTCATGAGCATCACTCATGACAATCATACATAAACATTCATGACCATCATTCATGTCAACATTCATGAGCATCACTCATGTTAACATTCATGAGCATCACTCATGACAACATCCATGAGCATCACTCATGTCAATCAACATAAACATTCATGAGCATCACTCATGTCAATCAGCTTCAAAAGCTTCATTTACAGAGCTCTAGCTTCAAAAGCTTCATTTACAAAAGCTCCAGCTTCGAAAGATTCATTTACAAAGCTCTAGCTTCAAAGCTTTACTTGCAAAGCTTCACCTACAAAGCTTCAGTGCAGGGTATACAAAAACCCTATCCAAACAACCGCTACTTCGGCCCATACATGGATTCAATTTGAAGTCTCCAGCCAACAGACTTTATTGACCGAAGACTTGAGGGGCTACACTATACACCATATATTGGGCCTTAACTGGGCCTCATGAAAAATACTTGGGGGACTTAGCCCATTATTTATGTATTGAGGAGCGAGCGCTTATTTTATAAAAGGGACTCCCTCACTTTCATTAGAGAGCACCCATTATTCATGTACTGAGGAGCGAGCCCTTATTTTATAAAATGGACTCCCTCACCTTCATTAGAGAGCAACACCGCCTACTGAGCAACCGACTCACCGCGAGCATCAACTATGGCCCATCATTTATGTATTGAGGAGTGAGCCCTTATTCTATAAAAGAGACGCCCTCACCTTCAAGCGCCATAAGCCGAGCCAACCAAGGCAACATAAGCCACGAGCCGAGCAGCCGAGCAGCATGTGCTATTTCTAGTTGAGCATCATTTCAGATTAACCACCGCCTCATATCGAACATCAGTTTAAGACAACATCTAATTACTTCGGCCCACACATAGACTGAATTTCAAGTCTCCAACTAAAAGACTCTCTTGACTGAAGACTTGGGGGACTACTGTTTATACCATATTTAGGGCCTCGTATTTAGATCTCGTACAAATACTCGGGGGACTTAAATGTAATTATGTGATAAAGGAAGGGGCAAATATGTAATAAGTGTGTAGTCCTTATTCTATAAAAGGACCCATCACCCTCACAATTAGGAGATGCCATTTTCTGAGGCCAATTCCTAGGCCCTCTCACTCCCTCTGAACGCTCTCACTCTCAGAGCTTTCTCTCCCTCAAATAAATAGAATCAGTATGGACGTAGCCCAAACCTTGGGGTGAACCACGATACATCTTATGTTATTTACATTTCATTGCAGATTCACGGTCGGATTTACGTTGTACTAAGACCTCCGGTTTTGTGCATCAACACTTTTCTTTGGGGGGGAATTCTTTGAAATTGAGTCCCATCGCCAAACAAAATTTGCAGCTCCCGAAAGTCGCGACATGTTCCCAAAAAGGAAAGAGACAAAATCATCACTTACCTTATCCTTAATAACCCTAAGGATAGCGTAATGGGTGAGCTGCCCGAACCAGTCAATGCGATCCACATCAACCAAATGCCCGAAACAAAAAGCCTCAAATTTGTTCAGTAAATCCTTTGTAAATTAGCCTCTAATATTACCCATACACCCCAAGGCATATGACAGACAAGAGATGGTTGTAGGAAACACCTCATCCGATGGACACACAAGTTCCGTTGGAGGCGCAGATTTAACTTTAGACCTGCAATATTTAAAACATAAGAAAATCAATTAAATAAGATAAGCCCGCACACATGATATGCACATCAAATGTATATTGTCTGCCCAAATTAAAATAGTTCATCAACCAACTACAAGTATGGCGAACATCAACAAGTGCACATGATATGCATAGAATATGCACATAGTATCTACCAATTCATGAACAAAATTCAATCGAATATTTCCAGCAATATCAAAAGGATATGCACATAATATAAATATAGGATGCACAAATTCAACGAATTCATGAACCAAATTCAAGTGCACCCAATAAATAGACATGCACAGATTATGCACGCAGTATGCACGGATTGATGAACATGTTTCAATCAATTGATTTACACCAACCTCTAAACCACATGCCCAAAGAAATTAACATCAAACAACTTAACTGTACAAAACACTAATTCGCACCCAAGACCCAAAATTCCCAATTTTACAAAACCTAGGTTCAAATAATTAAATTTCATTTCAAAGCATACCTCTTTTTGGATTTTGCCATTGAAATCTTATGGAAAGGATGTGCAAATGCTGGGGTGAAAACAACTTTTTCAAATATTTTGAAAGAATGTGAAAATGCACATCACAAAACCTCCTAAATATAGAGTGGATGGAAAAGGTTGTGTCAGTCGGAAACTGGGGTGGAAAAGGGTTGTGTTGGCCGGAAATGAGGTGGAAAAGGTTGTGTCGGTTCGGAAATGGGGTGGAAGAGGGTCGTGCCATTTGGAGTTAGGGTTCTTGGAGCTAAGGAGTGGACGCCACATATTTTCAAATAAAGAGGAAGAAATGCTGACTTGGTTTGACAAATTAACCCGTTTAAATACAAGGGCAATTAGATCATTTCAAGGTGTAGGAAAAATCTTATTTCTATCCAATTGTTGTGCACTGCATGTGCATATTTGAAATGTCCTATTTATGTCCCAAATTTAAGAAATTGTCCCAGTTTGGGTATTTCCCTAGAAGAAAAGGGCAAAAGCTTGAATAAAATATTATTAAATTAATAATAAAACATTATTAGATGTGTATTAAATAATCTCTACTAATTAATAAAACACTCATTGCATTGCAACCAAAATCCTATAAAATTACCAGTTTAACCCTCTACTTAAAACAGAACATGAATAAGAAATATGGAGCATAAATGTAATTTCACACAACCAAATTTTGCTTTTTTTTTTTCAAAGTTTCACCTACATGTAATCATAACATATCTTTAATTAAAAAAAAATAATTTCTCACACACTTTGTGTGTGCCCATATGCTAGTCTAATATTATAGTTGTTAATTATCCTTCTTTTAGTCTGTCACTACACTAAACGTTTTACTAAGTCAGTTCAGCTTAGTTTAGTCTAAGTTAATCTAGCGTAGTCTCGGAAGCTAGTTTAATCCGAAATAGTCCGACGCAACAAACATATCCTTAGTGTATATAATATCGTTTATTATAAAAAAAATAAAAATAAAAAAACAACTAAATGGCTAATGATTTTTTGATATGCTTTTAAAATAACTTTTGCTGAAAATAAACGATTGATTATCTCTCACGAGGGAAACCCACCACCGATAGGGGAAGGGTGAGAGGGTTTGGGTTTGAGAAGGCAGAGCCAAATATTACGAAAATATTTTTGTCCTGGCTCCCGACCTTAGTAGTGTATCCATCGTCCACACGCGCCGTTTGACTAAATTGCAGGCCTCCAATCCAGTCCAAGTCCAATGAGAGACAGATAAGCTTCCAATTTCAACTCCCTCAGCAGAATCTTATGATCACCTCTCTCTCCCCGATTGGGTGTTGGTAACTGGACAGAGTCTTGAACATGTATCACGCCAAGAAGTTCTCGACGGCGAGCTTGGTCCCGCACAAACCCCAGAGCTCCGAAGAGCTTGCGATCGTCGGGGCTGTCAGCGGCGGTTCCTCCGCCAAAAGTCCAACGCCTTCTGGCGGGGGAAGCGGGAAGCAGCGGCTCCGCTGGACTTCAGATCTCCACGACCGCTTCGTCGATGCCATTTCTCAGCTTGGCGGACCAGATAGTGGGTATTTTCTTTTCAGTAACGTTTTATTTCCTGTTTTTTTAATATTTATGTCCTTTGTTTCCATTGCAATTTTGACATGGCCTTCCTTAAAATTGAACCAGTCCTTAAATTGAATCGGTTTCCTCGAATTTTTCCTTAGTGGATTGTGCTGTTTGGTGACTCTTTTAGTTCTGTGCCAATTGGTTCAGTTTGGTCTGGTTTTTCTTGTATTTTGCTTGATATATGGCTTCATTTATGAATAAAAGGTTATGTAGCTAATCAAGATGCTTCGGGAACTAATCGAAGAAATCCCTTTCGGACGTCGTAATCATCCGTATAAATCGTTAATCGATCGACTGGTTTTGGTTAAGTTTTTTAGAAGAATTTTTAATTATCCTGTTTTTTTTTTTCTCATTTCTGCCTTCTTTGTAGTTGATTTCTAAAGATATAATATCATAGACAAATTGTTTTGTGGAGTTTAACCTCGAAAATTTGTTAAACCTCTAATACGATGACAAGAATTCATGCCCTTTTTTATCCAAATCATGTTCATACTCGGCCGCTTTGGGCCTCTTTGATAGCCACTATGTTTCTGGTTTTAATATCTTGTGTTTTTAGTTAAAGATAGGGGGAAATGTATGGGAAAAGGAGGGGAAGAGGTAGCCCGGGGGGTTGAGGAGGGGAAGAGGTAGCCCAGGGGGTTGAGGAGGGGAAGAGGTAGCGAAGAGGGTTGAGGAGGGATGGAGGAAGAGAAGAATCTAATGGAATTAAAAGCAATTTCAAATCGTTGTTCTTTTCAAGTTTTTGTTTTATACATTCTCCTTACTGCAATAGCAAAACACGGAAGTTACGCATGCCGCACAACTTCCTTTAAGATATGAACAACCATTTAGGTGGGTCCTCGTCTTATTGTTTGTTTCGAACAGTCGGCACATTATGGGCTGTTTGGTACTGACTATTGTTGCCATCCTCTTTCATTGTTGGTCTCGTTTTGATGACAATGGTTTTTGTTTTTCTTGGTCTCTGAAACCACTTATGATGATCTGGTGCAAGGTTGAAGGAACCCTTGCACTGGATGCAACCAATCTCTTCCCTAATCAATTTTATGCAGTAAAGGGAGTCTACCAGTTGTGACCTCCGCTATTGTCTTATGGACCCGAAAGCAGTAGAGTGACTAATCTGTGGGATTCCAGCGATTCACTTCCTTCTCGCTGGAGCTGAGTAAGATACTTTCTTCCTTTGGCATCATGACTGTGGCCACCAATGGTCACAGCATAGGATCCGGATGCATTCTAAATATTTCTGACTGAAAGAAATTACGTTTATTTTGCTCATTACAATCACAAAGTGCAGGGCTGTCCACACTACTGACTCTTTTAATGATTTCGTTTATTATCTTGTTCTTCTCTAAGTTTACGATTCTCACCTAGGTCGGACTTCTCATAAATCATCTTTATAATCTGGGCACGAAGTTGCACTATTGGTAGAGCATTCTGTTTAGGCAACTTCGGTCATTCGACCGGTTGTGAATGATTGGCCGTTTGTTTGGGGAGCATTGTCTTTTATGATCATGACCTCCACTTGTCCCCTCAATGCCTACTTGTATATTGGTACTCTAGTGGCTCCCTCATAGGTCAGGGTACTGCAAATACTACCCAACTTATATTCTCTTGTATAAGTCCAAAGACATGTGATCTGGAGGTTCTAGTAAAGGTTTGTTTCGGCCACTTAATTTTTCTGCTTTGTCTTGTGTTTGGGCCTGCGGAGGATTCTGCAACCATACTTGAAACTGTTCCTCCTTAGGTCTTGCTCAACTATATGCTCCTGTGAGCACTTTGACCATGCCTTTTAAGATTAATAAGGAAAGAAGAAAACCACTATTGAGCAGTTACTCCTGCTGCTCAGCTACCACTTTCATGTTGAACTTTCTATCGTGCTGTTGCTTGGTAGACTGGGTGGCGCAAAGTTCCAACTGATAGAACTGTCAATGTCATTACCAGTTACTCAGTAATTAAATGATGCTTGCGGAATATTATAGTTTTCAAGTTTGAAAGGTCCTCATTGTTTTTATTTAAAGGGAAAGTCAGAGTTTATAACTTTGTCTTGCAATTCACATTGTTTTGTCAGTTTTTAAACAGCAGGATTCATGATTAGTTTCTTTCGAAAGTGGACTCCTCGTTCAATAATTTTGTACAGTTTTATTTTGGGAGTTTTAATGAAAAGGGCTTCTATGATAATTTTCTTAACCAAAAGCACCATAATAACTTTATTTAATGAAAAAGACAGAAAGCTTCAATGAAAAAGGCTTCTCTAAACTTTTTTTAAAACTAAAAGCACCCTAATAACTTTATTTAATGAAAAGGACACAAATTACATACATCAAACCCTAAATATTAAAACTCTCACTCTGATAATTATTATCATCATCACCTTTTCATATTATATGTACCATCTTGAATTAGTTTATTAATTCACCTTAATTTCATTCCATATAATATCCTTTAATTGCACTTATATTCATACGTACTGCCATTGAATGGTAACTGTCATCAGCAAGAATTATGAGTATAATATATGTATGTATAGGTGTTATAAATGAATTATATTATATATTACATTCAAAGTTTTGAAGCCCTTTTCATTAATTTTCCTTTTTATGTTTAATGTTTTGTTAGGGTGCTATTATTGGCGCTCCAAAATTTGTAAGAAAAATACTCTTATGAGGAGTGCACAATGAATTTTTTGGAGTTTCAATAACAACACCTTTTAATTATGTTTCTTATGAAATAAAAGGAAATATTCACATTGTTCTTTGTTTGTTAATACTGTAACTGACTCTATTTACTTGTCCACTTTAAAATCCTAGGTTGAATCAAAGTCAGAATTTTTGGAGAGTTATTAAATTATTTTTCTCCAGCGTATTTTTATTTTTCACTATGTGGTAGTTAGAACTTTGTTAAATTGTAGTACTGTTTTTTTGTGGATATTTTGCTATTGTGATGTACTTTTTGTTAAATTGTAGTTAGAACTTTGTTAAATTGCTGGCAGTAAACTCACTCAGGCATAACCGTGTTTTTTATTGTTTGATGAAGAGCCAAGGAAGTTGTGTTGAACCATTAATTCCTTTGTTTTTCTCATCTTCACATATCTTCTGTATTATTTACTACGGGTAACCATCTATAGTCTAGCAACAAATTTAATTATCATGTTGTACTGTAAGGTACACATTCGTGTGGGTAGTTAATTGTATAATTAACCCTGTCTTGAATTTCTAGGGCTAGGAGGTTTTAACTATTCACTGGGATTTATTGTGTGATGGCTGTTGCCTTCAGTTAATTTATTTTGAGGAATTTTGATTGATATTGGTCATTTGAATATTTCTCATAGACTTGAGTGTAATGATTCTGTGTTTTCTAAATCAACTTTTGATTCTTTATCGAATACTTGTACATTTCTTTTGAGTTAATAAAAAAAAGGTCGTACCCAGTGCACAAGGCTCCCGCTTTACGCAGGGTCTGGGAGAGGTGAATGTCGGCTAGCCTTACCCTCATTTATGGAGAGGCTGCTCCCAAGTCTCGAACCCGAGACCTACCGCTCATGGGCGAAGACACTTACCATCGCACCAAGTGCGACCTCTCTTTTGAGTTAATAAATCGAAAAAAAAATTGAAAAAATAAATGCTCTCCCAGCATTTTTTTTTTCTCAGCTGTGGTTTACTTATTTCATCTATTTGCTCTTTGATTCATTAAATAATAATGAGTGCTTGATCTTATATTCATAATTCTGGTTAAGGATCGAATGTCTTTAAATTTTTAATTCTTATTGAAGTGGATGTGTTTTGATTTACGTGTGGTAGCTAATCATGCTTTCCAAGCTCAAGAAAAAATGTAGGACTGGATTAAATTGTCCAATCCTTCATTTGTGGCTTGCAGTCCAAGGGACAAATCAGTCCCACAACAATGGGATTGGTGAATTTTTTTTTCCATTTCCGCTCCCACTCAAACTAGTGTTTCTAATTGCATTCGTATATCCTAATTAATATACTTCACATATGTTCATTTTTTCCAATTTTCTTTAGGGGCAACACCTAAAGGTGTTCTGAGAGTGATGGGTGTTCCCGGACTAACTATTTATCATGTGAAAAGCCATTTACAGGTGTGGGTTTCCTTGCTACACTATATTACATATTTAGGGAGATTTATATGTTCTTATTTTTAACAGTGCACTTATTCTTTTGTATAGAAGTATCGACTTGCAAAGTACCTGCCAGAGTCTCCAGCTGATGGTAAAGGCTTCTCCCTACATCCATATATTTTATTTCAGCAATAGAAAACTTGTTTGTACCTAATGAAAATATGAATTTGAATGGAGTACTGTTTAGGTTCTAAGGACGAGAAGAAGGGTTCTGGAGACAGCCTCTCTTGTTCAGATTCTTCTCCGTGGGTACCTTTTCCTTTACCTTATATTGGTTATACATCTGTTTATGAACACTTTTTGTCTCTTAAGCTTTAATGACCAATATCATCATTTTCTTTACTTGCAAAATCATCGCTCTCATGCATATTAATGACTCTGCATCTAACATGCCGTAAAATCTTTGAATTGCTCAGCGGAGTGCAAATTAATGAGGCATTGAGGATGCAGATGGAAGTTCAGAAGCGTCTTCATGAACAGCTTGAGGTAAAGTCTCTTTTTCTCGCTTCACCTTACATTGCTAGAAGAGGGATGCAGTCTGGCCTACAAAATCTTCTCACTTCACCATACATTCCTAGAATAATAAATCAAGGGTTTCTATCGCAAATGGTCCTTGAGATTGATCAAACTCATCATTTTGGTCCTTCACTTTCGCAATCAATCAATGTCGTCTCTGACATTCATTACCGCACATCAATTGGTCCTTCCGTTAAGTTTCCGTCAACTATTGTGTTTGTATGTGGGACCTACAAATCCAATGAAATGGTGACACGTGGATTACACAAAAGAAGGGGTTTTATTACAAATGACCCCTGACATTGATCCAACTCCTCATTTTGGTCCCTGAGTTTTAAAAATCGATAGATTTGGTCCCTGACTTTCAATACCGCATGTCAAGTGCAAGTGTTAAGTATGACAAAAGCTTGTAATAAGCTGCTCATGTATGCAATGTATTGTTATGGTTATTGTCATATTGTTCTGGTCTGTGTCTAGACGTGTGGGCTATACTAAGAATTTTACTAATGTCTGAAAAACCGATTCAGGTTCAAAGACAGTTGCAAATGAGAATAGAAGCTCAGGGCAAATACTTGCAGAAGATCATTGAGGAGCAGCAAAAGCTTGGTGGTGCACTCAAAGCGTCAGATGCGTTACCATCAGCTGAGGATAAGCAGAAGCCAGCTCAGTTTGAGACAAAGGGAGATGCATTTGCCACACCCTCATCTCCCCATAAGAAACAAAGGGTGGATGACGGGTTGCCTGACAGTTGCGCTACATCTAATCTGCCTCTAAAAGCTGACCAGAAGAACGAATTTGTGGGTCAGTGGGATCGAGACTTGTATGGAAGTGATGGCGGATATGGATTTGGCTTGCAAACAGAGTTTAAAGAAAGAGATGGCGGTGCTGAGCAGAAATCGCCCATGGAGTTAGATGCCTTGTGTGGTTCAAAACAATAGGGAAGGAATCACCATTGTTGGTAGTCGTTTATGAAGCAGCATTGTGCAATTAATTAGAAACCATGTTATGTATACCGCATAAATATACATGCGACCGATTTGTAATTATACAATGTATGAATTTTCCTCTGTAGTGTATAAGTAGCATGTAAGCTCCAACTCCCCAAAACATAATTTTGTTTTGTTAGTTTAAGTTCTCTCATCGACGTTGAAGCGAGTGATTGTTTTAGATGATGTTTTTGCAAATATTCAGGAAGACATTGTTGCATTTCACTTTGAAAATGTGCGTGCTGCTATTGCCGTTTTAGGTACTATCTCTTGGATTTGTACTTTGGTTTTTTTTTCGGTTGGATTAAGAATCCATATTCCGCTTGTTTAACAAAAGGTTAATATTACCATCTCACAAATTGTTGAATGCATTGATAGGAGCATATTTATGCGACTTAATTAGCTTGTTTTCTTGCATTTTCATAGTTAGTTTCTATTTATTATAGTAATTTAAGCTATTTTCGTGTGTTTGTAGGTCCAAATGACAAAGTTGGCAAGAAAGTGCAATTTGGAGCATTTTGAAGCAGTTTTGGGCATCAAATGGATAGCTTATGAGTAGAGCAAGATGGATGGACGAATTTGAAGTTCAAGAGAGGCTAGGAATGTGCTAAAGAGTTGAAGAAATTAATTCAAGACAATGAAGATAAGGAATTAGCTCAAAAGAATGAGACATTATCCAAACTGCCTTATTTTATCCAAAACGTTATCCAATCTTATCTTATCCAAACTAACCTTATCTTATCTTATCCTATCATAATCTTATCCTACCTTAATTCCAGCTGCAATGGAGACTTATTTTCAGATTAGGATACCTACAAATCAGGTTTCTAGAAGCCCTATCACTTATCCTAAGAATGTGCCGCACCTAGCCTTTTAGAAGTTGTATTTCCTGCTACAAAGAACAATCCTTTTGCTCCCTGGAATTTGAAATTGAATAGTCCTTATTCCTTGATGATTTGGAGTCCTAATTCTCATCCTACTCACCCTAGCCGTGCCTTACATTCTCCCTATAAATATAAAGTGCCGCAGCATTCAGAAATTACCCACCTTCCATGACAAATTCGTCCCATACATCCCTCATACACATTCATCCCATTGTGCCGCAGCTTTGCGAGGAGATAGGAGAGGAGACCCCTGGAGCTGTGCTTGCCATTCAAGACGTTGGATTGTTGGAGCGTTTCTAGGTGTATTCTATCCGTTATTTCAATGTTTAAATTTAATTGTCTTTGTTTAATTGCAACATGAGGAGCTAAACTCGTTTTAGTTAGGGAGAAATTCAAAGCCATGAACATATTAGCAATATGAATCGATTACTTCCAGTTGTGATTTCATGAATCGTGAATGCAATTTACTTAACTGTTTGATTCAGAACTTATTCTTGTTTGTTGATTAAGGGTGCACAATTAGTTTGCATGCAGGGATTTGATGCTAGAATATAAGGGAATTCCACCTAATAGTTATAAACTTATATTCACAAGTAGTGAAGGTTGTTAGTCACAATCGTGTTAAGTGAATTCCTTGCAAGAATATCATGCTGTCATATTTACGAATGCCTTGTGAATGCTTATGATTTTGACAAAGCTTAATGATTTTTTATTGTATCTCTATTATGCTATTATGTAGGGAACTATTGAAGAATAATTTGGTTGCTGATGCGTTGTCCATCCAATTCAATGACTTAAGGAAAATCTGAGGGTTAATTAGTACTGTTCACGGTTAATCTGGGGCGTTGAGGTTCATGGTTTATTGGAAAAGCAATTGGAAATCGATTTGTATGCAAGTGTGTCATGTGTGGAGAAGAATCCTCTAGCTAACCAATCACCCATATTTTCCCCCAAATTCGTGCTAAATTTGCTTAAGTTTTTAATTTACTTGTCTTTACTTTAAATTCGTCAAAAACCCAATCCCCTTTACTTTGCTATGTTAAGTTAGTTAGAATCTGTCCAATTTGTGTTTTTAAGTGTTTTGAGTCAAGTTAAAATCAATTTTCGTCCAATTCACCCTCTAGTGTCTAGTTTGAGTCTATTTGATTGTTTTGTATTATTTTGAGTCTTTTTAGTTTGTTTTGAGTTCTTTGAGTCTAGTTAAGTGTTTTCAAGCCTAGTTTAGTGTTTTTGAGTCAATTTAAGTAGATTAGCAATCACCTCCTAATCCCCGGCCTAGAACAATCCCTACTTACATCTTTATTACAATTGTCAATAAGAGGGTTTAATTTGAGTGCTAGTTAAATTTCACATCATGCATCCCATGTTTGCATCTTATGTTTACTTTTTCAATTAAAAATTGTCTTAATACACTCTCACATATTTTCCTATAATACCCTCACACTTCACAAACTCAACATACATCTTACATTTTCTACACGCTCTATATTCTTCACATCCAAATAGTGTTATTTCTGTAATTTTGAAGTAATGGTCATCCCAGAGTCAAGAAAGAACATTTCAAAGTCAAGTAATGGCGATCTATCGAGGAGTCTCCCTCAACTGAGGATAAGAACATTTCAACGTAAAATGATGACAAAAGAAGGGAACAAAAAACTACCACTATTTTAAAGAATATGATGTAAGGTCTATGTCAAATATGTAGTTGAACTCGTGTGGACAAAACATAATATCCTTTCTTTTCTTTTCTTTTTTGTCATATGATAGATTTTGTTAGATTAGATATTAGATTATCTACCAACGGAATTCGAACTTATGCCGTCATGCAAGGGCTCAACATATTTTCACCACTGCGGTAAAAGGAGACTTGCAACAAAAAAAAAACAAAAAACAAAATATCCTTCGATACAACTAAACTATAGAGAAGCATGAAAACTAGGAGCTTCAAGATACATGTTAAATGTAACTGAAAAGAAAGCAGGAGATGCTAAACAGAACACAGCTTTAGCAAACGAAAGGCCTCCTATGAAACCTGCTATAGGCAGGCTTAAATAACGCAGGTTATCATAACCCATAAATATTTGCAGGACATTAGAAAGGCTTAAATAACACAAGCTTATAGCTTAAGTAACGCAGGTATAGTGGTAAGCATAATCAAGCCTAAATAAATACCGATGTTTGTTCTCAAAATAAATAAAATAAAAATACAATCACAAAACAATGAAATATATGAGGTCTTACCTCATTTGAAGCTTCCAAAACGTCGATTTCGTGTTCCATTCGTCAAAATTAATTTTTCTCAATCAACGTGTTTGTAGTTTCATTGGTTAGGATTTTGTTCTACAATTGAGGGTGAGCGGAGTTTTGAGAGTTTAAGAAAATAAATAATGTGTTAAAAGTGATTTGGAGATTTTTTCTTTTTTTTTAAACCTTATAAGATCCAAATTGTCATTACATAATAGGATACATAAGTCATTTATATATTTAAGTACCTAATCTATTGAACATTTCAAACAAGTACCCAATCTATTGAAAATATCACATCCGTTAAGTCTTAGTTAATTTTTCAATCATAGATTATATTCAAAACCCACCAACTAGGTATATCATGATCAACATTAATATTAGTTGCCTAAAAATCTAATTTCAAACATAAATTATATCATATAGAACCCAATGATCAGACGGGTATTGAATGAAATTGAAAATGGACCCAATTTCAAGGAGCTTATTTCTACTCATGTAATTTCCTCATTTGCCGATTCTCGGCTCGTAACACTTCCAATTCTTATTTATAGGCGATGAAGATGGTGGTAGCCACATCATGGCAGTGCATACCATTTTCCGCAACCTCTATGACCTTCTTGATGTTGGTAGCTTGAATTGTAGGGTGCACAAACTTAGTGGTTTTGCTTTGGGTTTGGAGGTGCTAGCCTGATGAGGGTGGTGTTGACCGTTAGTTGGCAGAGGCTATGCTTTCATGACCTTCTATTGATTTCGGGGACAAAGGAAGCCATAGTTCATTTAACAAATTTTTAAATGGGATTTTAACAGATAATTTGTTAAATGGGATTTTAACAGATATGACATTTTCAATTGGTTGAGTATTTATTTGGAATGTTTAAAAATGTTGAAACCAATTTGAAATGACACTAAAAAGTTGAAGAGTTTTAGATACTTGTATTCAACATTATGTGGCTATGATTTCATATTATTTTTCTTTGCAATTTCTCTGTTGTGGCTGTGATTTGACTTCTCATCTATATAGATATGCTGATTGCACCTAGATTAAGAGATTAGTCTTTAATTTTCTTCTGAATACAAAGTGTCTTCCACTTTGTTTTTCCATTGTGCCTATGGGTAAGGAATTAAAATGTCCTCATTTGGTGAAAGGTCCATAAAAAAAATAAAAAAAAAAAAAATCTAAGATAACACGTTCAAAAATCAACTTAAGAAATATTAACACAAAAAAATAATATCGCATAATCAAATTACCATATAAATAAATACATATAACCCCATATAGAGCCCGAAAAAAAATAACCCCTCATTGAAAGAGATTCTTTATAAAACCCAAAAGATGCCACCACTTTTCCAGCCTCATATAGAGCCCCTCACTGGGAATGCTCTTATTGCAACTAAAGAGTTGAGCATCAAAAGAGGGCTAAGAAGGAGGTTGGATTTGACTAGCCTGATGCCCTTCAGCCAAGTAATGGCATGGTGAGCTCCACATAATATAGTCCAATCATCAGTTGGAGATGAGTATTTTGACAAATCAGACCATTTTTTGGCTTTGGACCCTCAACCCTCTCCATTCGAGATGGCCTAATATTTCTTGGATAAATCTTTGGCAGCACATCTGTAATTCATGTTCTTAAGGAGATACCGAATGCAAATTATGTAACAAGGCCACATTAATTTATTCTAGTTCAATAGTTTTAAGAGACAAGGTTTATAACAGGTTCCAGATCTCCACTACCATTAGAAACTACTAGTTACCATGTCAATATAATCTTCACAAACACACAACCCCCATGGAAATCTTGTTGGACCCCTCATAATCAATATAAGCACATCTAAAACGTACGCATTATCCCGGTGGCCAGTTCATTTGCCGTCCTCCAAGCAGATGGACGTGAAGGTGATAAACGGATTGACCTGCAGGAAGACATCGCTCAGTATTATGTTTAAAGGGAAACAGCAGTTAAAACACCAACAGTTTAAAGGTATAGACTTAATGATATGTCATTCCCAAGTATTCAGAGTAAGAAATAACACGCACATCCGTTTGGGCCATCGTTGATCACAATCCTGAAGCCATCATCAAGACTCTCCTGCTTGGCAATCAGC